AGACAACAACAAAAATGGTTAAATTGTGTCATCAGGACCAGTCTCTTTAATTTCTCACTTAAAGAACTTACAAAAGTAAACACTTGATTCAATAACTATTTTAGAGAGCATGGCACAACAAGAAACTCCACTTTACATCACACCACCTAATAAACACTTTGTACAAAATCAGTTTAGTGTTAAATGATCACAATAAAGACTAAACTTATGGAACCAGAAATTATAATATATATCTACATATAAAACACACAAAACAAAGCACAACTAGCTTCAAGCATTAACCTTTAATTTAACTATCATGCATAGAATGTAATTATGATAGAAAATGGAGGATTTACCTGCAGTTACCTTCACACAGATGAACCTGTGGCACTTCCTGTGTATCACTGATGTATTCTGCTGCTCGAGGTCGGCTTCAAGTCTTTATCAATTTTTTTACATTTTTCCAGACTCCGTTGAGTTTGTGAAATGGAATAAACTGTATTCCACCCTCTAAACCCTCATGGTAACACTGTCTGAATTACATGTTCCCAACTGACAACGCTTAACAACTTTTTTCTGATGATTTTTCACTAAATCTCTCTGTCCGCAAAACATTCATGATGCAAAACCCTGACTATGTTGTTAGAGGAAAAGGGGGTGCAGCTCTGCAGGTAAGGGGGAGTTCACTTCAGGACAAATTGAGATCACTGATTGGTCAGTTGCTGACGAGCCTGCTGGATTGATTGACAGACGGTGTCAAGGATCCAACTCATGCAAAAATTAAAATTAAAATAATAGATTTTACATGGCCCATTTAGGAGTGCCATCATTTTTTTTCCATTTTGTTCCATATTTATTCAAAATGTATTCAATATTTTGGTGAATCTAAGGTTTGAGAACTGTTTCCTTACAAAATCATAATGATGGTTTCTTTATTTTTCAGGGGTGCTGAGTTAAAATTTAGGGGTCTGACAAAACTGATTTCCCCCAACTTTGGAGTAAGCTGTTGGGGGAAGAATCAGTTTTGTGTTGTGTGTTTCCTTCATTGATGAAGCCTTCTGGATCGAAGGCGAAACGTTTCAGCGCAAAAAAATAAACTGTCCATATGACCTGACTGAAAAATGTTGGATAGAACAAGACTATTTTAATTGAACGCGCTGTTCGCTTCGGTTTTTGTAGCTTCAGATGCTGTAACTTCCTTAACCGCAGATGACAGCAGTGTGCGGAGCGGGATGCGCGCGGCTGATGATCCGATGATCCAGCTGAAGCTTAAGATTTTTCTTTACCTCTTTCAACCGGCCAGTCGGACCTGAGCGTGCACCTGACCTGACACATCAGCAGGTTTCACTGTGCTGGCTTTGTAGAGTGAGTTCTTCCGTTTTTAACTTTTGTTTAAAACGTTCCAAACTTTCCATTATGTTGCTTGTTGTGGGTCAATTATAAATCCTCAGATGTTTGATAAAAAGCAGGGCGGGCAGGGCCACATGCACAATTGTTGCACAATGTGCCAGCGCTACCCTATCTTTTCACAGTCTGATTAACTTCTGCACTCCATTTATTTCTTTCTCATCCTCAACATATAAATTTACTGCCTCCTCCTCACCAAGTAGATGAACACATTATCCAACAATTTTCAGTCAGGTCATTTGGACAGTTTCTTTTTTTGTGCTGAAACGTTTCATCTTCCATCCAGAAGGCTTCATCAGTCAAGGAAACACAACACAAAACTGATTTTTCCCACAACAGCTTACTCCAAAGTGGAACAAACCAGTTATGTTGGTGCTAAGATGGTCTCTTTGGCACGCCCCCTCCTCCATTGCCGGCCCTCTTCCTCGTCAACAGTCATGGCAAACTGATTCAAAACCAACAAAGTCCATGCTCAATAATCCAGGTATACAATCCAACAATTTTCAGTCAGGTCATCTGGACACAATATTATATTGTGGATTCTTATTTAGTTTTCTTTGAGCTGTATGATTTGAAAAACTGCATCAAAAGCCCGAGCTCGACCCAGCCTGCCCATCAAGCGCATTATTTTGGCCCGACCTGGCCCGAATTTTGGGTCGAGTAGGATCGGGCTTGGGCCACAAATTGCAGCTCTACCATGTACTTCCTTATCTTAGCTTGAAAACAAAACAATTTTTGTTTGATGGATATTCTATGGATGCAGTTAGAGAGGACATGAAGGTAGTTGGAGTGAGGACAGAGGACACAGAGGACAGAGTGAGGTGGAGGAGGATGACTCACTGTGGAGACACCTGAAGAGGGAAAAGCTGAAAGAAAGAAATTTACAAATATATAATTTGGAGATTTGATAGAGAATGTTTTCTTAATGCAGACCTCATTAAATTCTACCTGCAGTGCTTTAAGCAGTAAATTTAAGCCTTTTCCATTCGTTGCTGAAAATGTCCTCTCTTTCACTATACATCTGTTTCATTTGTTTCATTTCTATTTATTTATATATTTCCTCTCATTTTGCAGTTTTGTATCTTTCTAAGAAATATATTTTTCATCGTTTAAAATGAAGGTCACAGCATTTTTTCCAAGTTAATTTATGAATTTATTCATTCCTGAGATTTTCAGTTTTTTCTCTTTAAAGATGTAAAATCAGCACGAGGACGTGAGAAAATCTGGTTGAATATTCTTATTTGACCTCAAAAGACAGTTCATTATTTCTTTTTGAGTTTTTTCTTGTACACACTGATAATTTTTAAGAACATTTAAATAAACAATGGTTCTATTAAATGACAAAGACAAGCAAATGTTTTTCTAAATTCTTTTACAAGCAGCGAGACAGACAACTGAACCACAAGGTGGAGACAGAGACTGGATCATAACATGTACAGTACATTTAAAAAAAAAAAAAATGCTTCAAATTGCTATTTTATAGTCAGCCTTTAATACATCAATATAAATCAACTCGTGAGTCTTGAAGAAAACAAAAAAATAGCAGCTGCAGAGGCAGACGGAAATGTACAAATTAAATATATAGCGTGGAGGAGAGGTGCTGCTGCAGGTTAAGACTTTAAATGTACATCAAATAAACACAAACCACTAAATGTTAGAATCATTTCTGTATTTTTACTGAAAGCAACAGGCAGAACATACATGACACATATTCATCATATATCAAATGTAACACTGTACAGCTTCAGTCACTTCATTATATGTAATGTTGTCCAGAAACATCAATCAGGGAATATCTTTTCTATATTAGCAACATTGAAGGTGGCAGAAAATAAACAAATATAGAAAATATGAGGTGGAAAATTATCATTACAGACCCCACTCCCCAGTTTTAGTACTGAATTTAAACACTTTCTATTTAATGTGTTCATTAATAATCTGCATACTGTAAGAGACTTGCACCTTTTAGAATTTAACACGGATTTAATTACAAGCTCCTAGAGTGGACGATCAATGCATTCACACACCAGTCAATAAAACTAAAGTACTTTAAAGTACTTCAGGGATCAAAAGGTGCGTATTAAACACCTGTGAAACTACAAGACCTACAGCATCACCAAGATCTTTGAAACTCAGCAAATGACACATCAACTATTAAATAAATAATTGCACAGATCCAAGCAGATGGAAACAGCAGGAAATGTCTTGAACTGTGAAACAACCCGTTTTTATCCAAGTCAAAGTCTAAACTAACAGATTTAGAACAAACACTGAGAAAGTACGGCTACAAAAAGAGGCAGTTTGTATCTTGGAAAGTAAATGACCTCATTTTGTGAAGTCATAAGGACAAGAATACACATCATCTGTATATCACTGAACACCACGCGTATCAATAAAAAACTGTCAAATTTACAGTTTAATGGTGATGCTTCAACTAACTGGTTTAATTATTAGCAGTTACCGTATTTTCCGCCATACACGTCGCACCACCCTATAAGTCGAATCAGTCCAGAAATGTCTAGTAAAGTGGAAAAAAACATAAATACTTGACCGTCTAAGTCACATCTATTATGCATCACCGCTGACAACCCGGAAATGTGGGCTGGTGTTGTGCCAAGAATCGACTGGCTGCCAAATGGCGGCCACGAGAGCGTGCACTGGAGGACTTTAACAAGAATCTAACAATAATTTGTTTGCTTGAAATTATAGTAAAGGCGTGTCTCAGTTGAACTTTTCTTTAATAAATGCACTTTGACGGTCAAATCAGCTGCATTTCAAAAGCCGATAAGCGGAAGAAAGCGCGTGCATGGGAGGACTCTCTGTGCATTTCTTTGAAATTTAACAAGATAACCAACTAAAAACAATAATTTGTTTGCTTGAAATTATAGTAAACGTGTGTCTCAGTTGAACTTTTACTTAATAAATGAACTTTAATAGTCAAATCAACTGCATTTCTCTGGGGCGGTGCAGTGAAATGAAGCTGATTTGACGGTTGCTCCAAGTGAGCTGGATAAAGGTTGGATCTAAATAGGGCAAGCAGATTGTATCATTAATAGCCACTTTTATCTATTACATGACACAACGGCATGCCATACCCTCGAGTGCCATCTAGCGGCTGAAAATGTAAAGTGTTCAATATTTTTAGACAGAATGAATGAAAACGGTCATATCTCAGACAAAAATAAGTTCATAAATATGAGAAAAATCCATAAATATGTCGCTTCGGCGTATAAGTTGCATGGCATGCAAATTATACAAAAAAACGCAACTCATAGGGCAAAATATACCGTAACTAAAAGTGGTTAAAATGGTTTTCTACCAGCAACACTGGTAGTTGATCTCAGCACAATCTAACATTAAGCTAACAACACAACAAATGAATGTATGAAAATAAGATGTGATGCTATCCTTAATTAAAAACCTGTTTTATTCCCTGGAGACGCACACATAAAAAGGTCAAATCAAGTATTTTTAATTCAACATTGTTTAAGATATGCCACGCAGGTGACATCTTTAACTTATTTACATGTTAATGTTTGTCCACCTGGTCCAGAACAGTACATTCAGAACGGTTATAACTGCACCACAGCTTTACTTCTTGATGTTTGGGGACATTCATTTCGACTCCTTCCCCTGAGAGCAGGTAACAGGAGGAGGCGTTTTTAAATCAGATGGAGGTGTAATGCCTCCCAAAGCTGGAGAGTCTAATCTTTTCTGGCAGGATGATGTTTACCGAGTGCTCCGGCTCTTCCTGGCTCGTGCTGCCGACCTCTTTCAGCAGGTGTTCCCTTTGCTGTCGAACGAGCTGGCTGTACTTTGCATTAGCCAGCCACGTCTCGCAGCGGCCAAAGAACACGATTCCTGTGGTGCCCAAGATAACAAGGCAGGTGAGCAAGGCCAGTATGCCGAAGCAGATGAGCTGACCGTGGGTGACAAGGACGCGAGAAGGGTGCACCGTCTCCTTCAGGGTGATCTTAAGCAGATCTCTCTCCGGAGGTCTCAGCAGCTTATGAAAGGCGTGGGCAGGGAGGGAGTAGTGCTGTGGAGCAAGAGCAAACACTCTGTGGTCCACTGGCTTGGCACCAGCAGGCTTGGATCTGGTCTTGGGTCTGTGATGAAGAGAACACGTGGGACCCGTAAACCATTTCTGGCAAGCGCAGCGAAACGTTCCGTCGGGCTGACCGATGCACGTTCCCTCATTGGCACAGGGCTGACCGGCGCAGGGAGACAGGCTGGTGTCGTTACACGTGAAACCAGTGAAGCTGAGTGGGCAGGCGCATGTAAAAGCGAGGCCGTGGTTTGTACAGTTGCCACCGTTGAGGCAGGGGTTAGGCTGGCAGCTGTCAACACTGATGTCACAGAAGTCTCCAGAAAATCCAGGGGGACACAAACAGGAAGGAGAAGCTGCGGAGCCACTGGCATCAACGCATGTGCCTCCATTGTGACAAGGAGAGCTGAAGGACAGAGCAACACAGTGAGAGTTTACTGCAGGGGAAATATGGTCCATTATTTAATACTAAGCTATCCATACACAGTCTTTATCATCATGTCTTATAAATTACAGAACAAAATGATTCAATGAGACACATTATGCATCTATAACATCTTACGCTGCTTCTATACTAAGCAAACTGTTGACGGATTTCAATATGACACTTAATGGATTTAAGATTTCGTGTCTACGTAGGAATTCAAATTACCACAGATTCATTGACCATTTTAATAAAACAGAAATGCTTTTTATTACCACAAGTCAGTTTTTGTTAAAACATTTTGAATTATGAAACCAAGTTTATATTCAAGTTAGCCATTTTTCATCCACTAAATTAAGTTTAAATTTGTTCAAAGTGCTGCAAAAACGTTGCCAAAGGTTGATGTTGATCTAAGGCTTTAATAATTTTGTTGCTCTGCTGTAAAATACAGAAGTCGAACTGGTAAAAAAAAAAAAAAAATCCTATTAGGATTCTGAAGAAGGGATACAATTGTTTCATTTTCTTCACATTTCAGTGTTCATTTTGATATTTCATATCAACTTCTAGATCACCTAAAAGCCACAGTCACTGGTTAACTTTTTAAAACCATTCATCCATTCATGGATGGATATCCAACCGTCATTTATTTCTCGCTGGGCTGGGTGGGACAAGTTAACACCCATAAGAATATCTTAATGCCAAATGTACAGCACTGTAGCATTGCCTGTTGTCTTATATGAATATAGACATTAAAACTATGTTATATATTTTGGACATGCAATCCATAAAAACGTTATAATGACCCAAAGCAAATCTACAATGGTGGCTGAAATACTAGATTTACTGAACTCAATATCAAAATATTAGAATTAAAGCATAAGTACTATGTGTTGTCATCACTGTATGTTTCGATACAATGATGAAATTAGTTCTCTGCATTCAACCCATCACACCTGAGACACACTCAGGTGGAGAGAGGGCAGCCATCTTGGCCCCTAACAAACAAACATATTTAACATGCGGCACTAATGAAATTTGTTTTTATTCCTTTTTTATTCATTATTTCTTTAACTATGTATCTGAACAAGCAGCATCCATCAAAGCTATTCTACTAAACTGCACAGGGGGCCACAGTTACCGAGAGTCAGCAGCTCAGGGGCCGGACATCCAGCAAATAAAGTCATTATGTAAATAAACCAAGTATTACAACGATGACTTGCCAAATCGCTACACTTTTCAAAACTAAATAAATTGTTGACTGTTTTTGATGTTCCCCGAACGACCGACATGTTGCTGTTTCAGGTGGGTCCAATAAGAACCAGCTCTCATTAACAATGAAACGGCTGCACACAGAATGGGCTGAAACTTATTAAAGTCAGTCTCAAAACAGCAATTCAGTTTCAGTTTCTGATGGCATAAGTTTCAGCCCATAGCACAAACCAGTTCTTCCTGAAATGGTTCATAAATCCCAGGTGACGCATTCAAGTCCTGCTCAGGTGTGAGTTTTGAGCAGAACCAAAGGAGGCAGAGCAGAACTCAGCTGGGTTGAAAGCGAGCGTGATGCATGTCGAACGTCTCCTTCATGTCATTTACTAAATGAATTGTCACTTAATCCATCTTATTTGCAACAAACTATATATATATATATAAAAGCTACACATCTGCTGTGCATCATCATCAGTATTCCCCCAGTAATAAATCTGTTGTTTAATCCAGCTTGCAGGCGATCCACACACTGATATGAACAGATTATCAGAACTCCCATTGCGTCCTGTAAATCAATGCTTTCATTGGCTCTTCTTAAAGTGTTCTTCTGCATTCTCCTGAAAATGTAGAAAATTCAGATGGGCACCTAAAAGGATTGCCTCTCTGACTGAAATATTTGTAATTTCAAATTGTTTAAAGGTCTCTTTCACAGATGTTTTCTGTTTTTAAAATTTATTTGTGAACTCATTGTCGGGCCGGACTAAAGTCACTGGCTGGCCTGGAGTGGCCTGCGGGCCTCCAGTTGAACAGCCCTGCATTAGGGTGTGCTGCAGCACAAGTTTCACCCCTACTTCTCATTAAAGATGAAGTGCGAGCCCCTCTGTTTTCACCATCTTCATCTTTCTGACACCAGATACCACATTTAAAACCATGTGGTAAGTAGAAGGTTACTCACATGTGGCACGTGTTTATGATTTTGATGAAATCATCAGCTGGAAATATGCACTTCAACAAAAATCTGCCGGATCTTCACAATGGGAATTTAAACTCAGGCAATGAAACAGAACAACTAAATGATCAAATCGTTCATCAACTATTAAGGATCTCCACCTCACATCTTGTGTAATGCTCATTGGTATTCTTCTACCGCCGTAGTAATTTCTCCCGGCACTAATGGAATAAAACCGTATGCCTCATTTTCTGCAAATTAAAACCCTGAAACCCATGACAATAAATAAATAAAAAGTCTCAGCCTTGCCTCTGAAATAATCTGCCGGCACCAACTTGTGCAGCAAACCTGATCAATGCAGTCATGCTTTAACAAGCTGCACACAAAGATAAAACCCTGGGATAGAAACTAATCAATACCTCCAACAGTACTTTGGATAATTACACAAGCCCCCAACACCTTGTCAAGACGAGTCTGAAGAAAAGCAGTTCTGCCACACTTTTAGACCGTCTAGTGGAGCTGATTAATGACACAAGTCGTGCTCCAGTTGTTTCAGCGTGACATGTAGACAGTTACTTATTGAGTATGAGGAAGAGGACAGCTGACTGTTCACAGTCAATTATCTATAGGTTGGTGAATTTTGGTGTGACAGTCAGCTCAGCTGGGCTGCCTGTCAGAGTCCCGACGAACGGGTTCACAGTTTGAAAAGCCTCGTCAGCTATCTGCATCCCAGAGGGTCTTTTATTGTCCGATGGGCAGGAGGACTCCTGAGGGGATCAGAGGCATCTGTAATCCAGCAGCCAACAGGCGACTCCTGCAGCTTAAAGCAGTGGTTCCCAACCCTGGTCCTTGAGGAACACCATCCTGCATGTTTCAGTTGTTTCCCCGCTCCAACACACCTGGTTCAGTGATTTACTTCCTCCTTCCTCATGTTCTGCAGAAGCCTGTTAATTACCCATTAAGTGAAATCAGGTGTGTCGGAGCAGAGGGACAACTAAAACATGCAGGATGGTGTTCCTCAAGGACCAGGGTTGGGATCCCCTGGCTTAAAGGAATGCTCCAGCACCAGGTGAAAAACTATTTACCAGTAGGAAACTTTGATAAACTACTTAAGGAAGATTATTTCTCAGGATCTGAACACCTAGCTGAACTGAAACAAGAACAAATAAATGTTGATGCGACTTATATGGCGGTGCGATATGTATGGCAGCAAATACAGTAATTAAAATCAGGTGTGTTGGAGCAGAGAACAACTAAATCATACAGGATGGTGTTCCTCAAGGATCACGGTTGGGAACCCCTGGCTTAAAGGAATGTTCCATCACCAGGTGAAAAACTATTTACCAGTAGGAAACTTTAATAAACTACTTAAGGCAGATTATTTCTCAGGAGCTAAAAGCCTGGCTGAACTGAAACAAGAACAAATGAATTCACGTTGAGCTTTACTCGTTAAAACTGCACAACAGCTCCGTGTAAGAGGTTTTACATCTAAACAGACTGGGGGAGTTGGAGCACTTATTGTGTTTGTGCTAAAAGCTTGTGGCTCCGGTGTCAGGACTGATGCAAACTTGTTGAAAATCAAGATGGGATTTTGGCAGAGTGTTTATTTTATGCTAAACTGAATTCAGAGAAGATGAGTTTTAGAGCATGGAGGGGAAGAGCTTTTAAAATGAAGAAGTGTAAAATAAAGGATTAAAGAACACATCAGCGTCCTCCTGCTATTAACGTAAGGACATTTCTGGTCACAAACTGTTTGCGTGTAAAGATTTCATATGTGGCAGCCTTGTTAAGTGAATTTGCTGCATTTGATCTTGAATGTTTGACTTTAAAGGTTGAAGTGTGGAGCGACGTGTTTAAAGCCGTTCTGTCAGACTGATAAATGTGTACTTCTTAAGGGGAACAACACATCAAGCCAAGCAGACGAGTGATGATTTTATTCCTCTTTCAGATTAAACAAGCGCACACAGGAAAAGTGTTTTCAGCTATAACTCTATTAATAATGACTTTTTTCGCTGAGTTTATTTTGTTTTATTTCTTTTTTGCTTTGACGTGCAGCTACACATCTCAGAGGCCCTTGAACAACTATTTTTATAATGTTTTCTTTCCAAAGATTTCAAATTGTGCTCCTGATGTTTTACCAAAAACAATCTGACTCAATGACCACATCACATTGTCCTTGACCAAGAAGAAAACAGTTTTCAGCTTATTTATACAGCACCAAGTCACAACAGAAGTTGTCTCAGGGCACTGAACAAGGATAAGATAAGATGTGCCCTGAGATAAGAGCACTTATCTAAGGTTAAGGATGTTTTAAAAAAATACAAAATAACAAAATCAGTATCCTAAAACAAAACCAGCTGAAGAAATGAGGCGTTCTTTTGTGGAAATTCTGTCAAAGCAAGACTTCGTTTCACAAACATGCATCTACCGTGTTTTCCAGTGTATAAGTCACAGTTTTTTGCATAGATTTGTCAGTCCTGCAACTTATACACTGAAGAGACTTATATACTTTTTTTTTCATATTCATAACTGGGGGAGTGGTGGTGCAGAGGTTAGAAGATGGGCCTGTGATCAGAAAGTCACAGGTTCAACTCCCGGTACAATCAGCATCAAAATGTGGGTGGAAAAGGTGAAACACCCACACCTGCCTCCACCTTCATTGGCCCCACTCTGGGCCCCTGAGCAAGGCCCTTAACCCCCACCATCTGCTCCCTAAACAGGTCTCTCTTGAACATGAGTTGTCATGACTCAACGAGACTACCTGGATAAATAAAGGGTAAATAGATGAAAAAAATGATGCAATTTTTGACTAACACTTTAAATTTCAAAGAACTGCAACAGCGAGTCCTTCCGTGCGCGCTCGCTTCACTCAGATGGTGCAGGTGGAAAATGCTGGAGAGCGAGCAGCTCCGACCATGATGGATGGATGGATGGATAGATGGATGGATGGATGGATAATGGACGGATGACGCTGCACCACCCAGGCAAAAGGAAGCTGTTTTGACCATTAAATAAATGCATAATACCGTAAATGCGACGGGTCAGCGGTGATGCTTAATAAATGCAACTTATATAACGAAGCGACTTATTAATTTTTTTTTCCTCTTCATGATGCTTTTTTTGACTCATGCAACTTATACGCCGGAAAACATAGTGATTGAAAATCCCATTTTAAAATGGCAATCTAATACATTTTCTGTTCGCTGCCCCACCACCACCAGAGCAGCTGTAGCAATAATGAAGGATCTGAAATGTCTTGTACTAGGTATTGATTAGCGCTCAAGGATGAGGTGCAAGGCTGTAAAGGAATTAAAACATGGAGAAAAGCCAAATAAAAAGGTCGTCGTACCCGTTTGTGAGGCAGAGTCCTTGCCCCAGTTGGCAGTTCTCTCCAGAGAAGCCATGGGGACATGCACACAGGTACCCCCCCTCTCCCGTCTCTATGCAGGTGGCGTTGCTGGCACACGGCCTGGACGAGCACAGACGAGTATCTGTTGTAAAAGATGGAACCGAGGGAGTTGGTGCATGTTGTGTTTAGATCTTTAGAGCTTGATCTCTGCAGGTCTGTGTTTCGCTCGGCCTCGTTTATTGCCACTCTCCGTTCTGCACGCAACAGCACCTTGTCATCAACGACAAGATGGAAAGTACAAGCGAGCGCCTAGCACGAGCCATCAGCACATCTGCTGTGGCACAGTTTGAAACAGTGCATGTGAGGATAAGTGGGTCAAACTGTGGTGGAAAATCCTCTGTTTTCAAAAGGAAAAAATACAAGTCTGTTCCCTCACTAGCTTGAGGCCAGCAGTAATTTTAAATAAGAAATCCTGAATAAATATTCACTTTTGATGTTTTGTCTTCTGCTGCATATTTTTAAAGTATTATTAGCTCACCGCCTACAGGGAAAAACAGATTTATTTGAAAACGTTGCACAAGTCTGTGTGCGTAAGTGTCTGTTAGCAAAATATCCCATGAACTAATGTATGCATGTTATTGAAACTTGCAGAAAGTAACCATTGGACGTGCACTTACTACTGTTTAACTTTTCAGTCACTTCAATTTCAAATGACTGCCACAGCCAGTTTATATTAGAAAACACAAAAACAGCTACAGTTCAGTCAATTTTACTAAAATTGTGCTAAAACTAGGTGTGATAGTAGCTGAGGGTTGATTACAACCCATATGTGATCATTATTGTTGCACATCCTTAGCTTAAAACTTTAGCATTAACTGCTGGAGTCATTAGAAAAATATATCACGGCTCTCTGCATGAATTATAATGAAACTCAGAATTAAATCAGCAAATGTACATTTAATAATGATTGACTTTTTGAGTGAATTAATTTCAAGATGGCTGTCTCGGCTAATCCACGTTAGAAAAACACAAAAACAGTCATAACTCTAGTTTTACTAATATTGAGCTAAAACTTGAGCGGTAGTAGCCGGAAGTCCTTACGTCACATACTTGTCCTATCACATGACAAATCTTATAAAATTACTTTCAAGTATTGATCAAAGAGTTATAGCTTCGCCATCAACATAAGATTTGGTCTAAAACTCGTGCATAGAAAGGAGGCGGGCGATGTGCATTCCTTCAAGGACTGCTAGGCCTTTGATGTAAACTCTGATTTTGCCCGTCTACAACAGTTTACCCTCTAGATTAATTAGTTGCTCCCAGAGGTCGGTGGCTCGCTCTGTGCTCAGAGGTGGAGGCAGACAGACAGGAAGCAGCTGAACGAGGCTCACCTTGGTCACACAGGCTGCCTATCCAGCCCTGACTGCAGATGCACTGCCATGCCTTCTCACATGTGCCGTGCAAACAGCCAGGGAACGGCACACACCGGTCACAGTTCTCCCCTTGCCACCCTGGTTTGCATCTAAAAAGGGAGCGTGGAGAAAAAAATTAAATAAATACCCTGAACAGTCCAGAGCCGCCCACATGCTGCTCCTGTCCTCATGGCACCGCTTTTATTAGTGATGAAATGTTGAACATTTAATAACTCAATGGTTGATCTAATGCAAGGAGAATTTAAAACTTCAAAAAGGCATCTGATAAATTGTGTTCTCATTGTTCATGCAATAAAAAAAAGACATAAAGACATAAAAGCACATCCAGCTGGCCGGATCAGGCTGTCATTTCGCTAAATGGGGAACAATTTACTGTGACTGTTCATGGAAATGAGGTTGAGGAGGCCTGCAGATATATGAGCCATCATCTGCAGGAATCTGAGGTAATTTTAGAAACCCACCTGCACTTCCCTGGCTTTTCACAAAACCCATTTTCTCTGCTGCAACCTGCACTGCATTCCCAACCTTATGAGACAGAAAAAAAGGAGGGTGGGGGGGCATGTTTGCACCAGCAGTCAAAACACACATAAAACATTTATATATGTATATATATATATAATGTATACTTTTTGTGTGTCATGCAGAGAGTGTAAAATCTTTAATTTTCACGCTGGAGCTGAAGTGATAGAAGTCAAGGCTCACCTGCTGCCATGCCTGTCACGAGCAGAATTAAGACCACCCGGATGAGATGCATCGTAATTTCTAAGGAAGACGACCCCTCTTTGTCCTGGAAAGATTGGAGCGCGCTTGAGTCGCGTAAACAGCTGCGTTACTTATTTATTTTTCAAGCAAAAATAAATCCGAACAAAGTTATTTCAATAGAAAGGGGAAAATAATGTTGCAAAAAAAAAACATCATTTTAAATTCTACATGGACAGATAGTGCAACACTGAAGAGTGGGGAATTAACATCTTATTTGTTTAATTTGAATATTTAGCCGTTTTGGTAAACACCGACGCACCTGAACCATGCGTCTGCGCCCAGAGGTGTCCATTACGCGCAGGAGGAAAGTAACGCGCTACAACAAAAACAACACTCCCAGCCCCTAAAGCTCAATATTAAAGATTCCGTCTCACCTATGTGGTCCTCGCGCGCTGCCTCCAAGTGGCTCCAGTCATATTTCAGTGCTGTGTTTGGATTTCCTCCTTCCTCTTTTAATCCAGACGGACGGAAGAGAGACTACAGGTGTACATGCGGTCCGGCTGCTGGAGGTGGACCCAGAGGTTTGGACCCGACTTGCTGCTGCGTCGCGCAGTCCCAGTGCAGCACGCTCCTCCCACCTCAGGAAGGGGGAGAAAATTTAGTGCGTGTGTGAAGAGGTGTACAAAACATTCAGGAAAAACCAATATAAGATAAACCTCTTATCCCAAATGTATTCGTTTTATTGTTTGTTGTTGGTTTTGTAAGGATTAAAGCTCATTTGGCAATACAAACTAGAATTTTAGATTGAATTTAATGTTTTTTTTCAACCCTTATAATCAGGAACAGCTTTAGTAATAGTGTCACAATCGTAATTAAAGGGCTGTCTTGTTGAGTAAACGTTTCATTCTGGTCGTTTCAACATGAAATCAGACAATGTAGACGATGAAGGAAAGAACGATGGCAAAAGCTTCACTACATTTATTTCATGCTTTATATGTAACAGAAAAACTCACGACTCTGCAAAAACATTCAAAAGCGACCTGTAAACAAATCAATGTGAATATTTCAAAGCTTGAGTACGCAGGTCATATATTTGGTTAGCCGGAGAAAGAAGTATTATTATAATCTTCTTATGTGAAAGACTCACGTTCAAGTGAAGAAACCACTTACCGTATTTTCTGCCGTATACGTCACATCATTCCAAGTATGTCTAATAAAATGAAAAAAATCCATAAATACATTGTTTCGATGTATACGTCACATCTGTGCGTCACCGTTGACAACACGGAAACGTGGGCCGGTGTTGTGCCAAAAATCGATTGGCTGCCAAATGGCGGGAGCGTGCACGGGAGGACTTTAACAAGAATTTAACAAGATTAACAGGTGAAAACAATTATTTGTTTGCTTGACATTATAGTAAAGGTGTGTCTCAGTTGAACTTTTACTTAATAAATGCATTTTAATGGTCAAATTAGCTGCATTTCGTCGGGGTGGCGCAACGAAATGAAGCTGATTTGACGGTTGCTCCAGGCAGACAACAGTGGCAGGCTTTGGCAAGCTGATTGTGTCAGTAATAGCCACGTTTGCCTATTACATGACACGACGGCATGCCATACAACTCGATTACCATCTAGTGACTGAAAATGGTAGTGTTCAATATTTTCAGTCAGAATTAATGAAAATATATCTCAAAAACTGGTTTATAAATATGGGAAGAATCTATAAATACGTCGCTTCGGTGTACAAAGTATAAGTCGCAAGACATTATTCAAAAACACACAACTTATATGCCGAAAAATATGGTAGTTTTCATCAGAGCAGCAAAAGCTCTGGCCAAACTAAACCAAACAGGAACCAGTCAACAATGTGTGGTTCTCTTCATCTCAAGAGGTGTTTTTTTTTATACTTAGTGTGGAAAAATACCCCTTTTCAATCTGAAATCCCACATGCAACAAGTATATGACAGCAGCAGGATGACTGCGCTCCAAAATCACCAACACACTTTTCTGCATCTTAATTTCACATTTTGTTCAAAGATTCTTGATCTAAAGCCCTTAATCTTGACTTTAAAGTGATTGTAACTGTGCTGTGACTTTGAAAAGGTTTTAAAATTTATCGTGCTGTGAGTTCCCAAAATGCAAACGCATTACATTGCTTCCACTGATAACTAATGGCAAAGATGAGTCAGTCAGTGATGGAAGTCTGAAGCATTGATCTGTCATTAAAATCCTCCCGTCATGTTTGGAATGATTTCACACACCGTCTGTCACAAGAAGCAATATTACCCATCAGTCACAGAGCTGACCTGTCTGAGTCCTCACCTCCCAGACGCAATAACAAGTAATTTTCTCTTAGCCCTCTCCCCTACGCTCAGTCTTCATAACGGTCAGGGACTTTTAATTATAAGACAGTTTCCACATGAGCACAAATATGACCTCTGACCCCTCGTTCCCTTCACCCGTTGTTACTGCTTCACTTGGCTACATTTTAATTCAGCTCTGAAAGTCTCATGAGGTGCTTCTACTTCATGGAAGTAGTGACACTGCTGACCTCAGTTATCTGTTTCTAAAATATACCTTCACCACGTTTGAAGAACTATATGGAGTCCGTCGTAGAAAAAAAAAACAAATTCACAAATTATCTTCATCAAATTTTTAATTTGCTGGCAAATAAGAGAAGGGTTTCACAGAAAGACACAGAGTGTTAGCCTTCCCGTTCTGCTGGTGTCAGTTCTGAGCTGTCTTTGCTTTGAAAACTTACATCAGTTGTTTAAAAAGTCCCATAGATTGAGAGAAAAAACTTTTTTGTGGAGGGTATGTCTGCAAACCTACATAGATTGCTCCAGCCAACATATATTGCTCCAGTCAACATAGATTGCTCCAGCCAACATATATTGCTCAAGCCATCATAGATTGCCCCAAACTACAGAGATTGTTTCAGGAAATATAGATTACCACAATCTACATAGATTGCCCCAATTTACATAGATTGTACTAACTAAAATAGATTGCCCCAAACTACATAGATTGCTCCATCCAACATAGATTGCCCCAATTTACATAGATTGCTCCAGCCAAAATAGATTACCCCAAACTACATAGATTGCCCCAAACTACATAGATTTCTCCAGCCTACATACAAGTGGTTACGATTAAGATTTCTTTATTTGTTGTTCGCTCCACATGTGGTACACGTAGTGAAATGTAAATGTGTACAGGTCCCAGTTAATCTAACAAAAGTATAAATTGTAAAAGAAAAACAGTAATAAAATCTAAGATATGAACTAAGAAATACACTAAGCGCTAATAGTACAAAAACAATACGCCGAACAACAGCAGCACGAACATGAGTGTGAGCAGATGAGTACGAATGAACACAGCAGCATGAAATTAATCAGCAGTACATATCAACAATCAAGAGGCATTACAGTGATAGTTCTGATTAGAGATTCATGAGTCTAACAGCCTCAGGGTAGAAGCTGTTCCTCAGTCTAGTGGTTCTACACTTAATGCTCCTCAACCTCCTGCCTGAGGGGAGTGGGGCAAAAAGTGTGTGCGCTGAGTGAGTGGGGTCCTTCATGATGCAGGTGGCCCTCTTTCTACATCTGGAGGTCTAGATGTCTGTGATGGTGGGGAGGCTGACTCCAAAATCTTCTGTGCAGCCTTCACCACTCTCTGCAAAGCTTTTCTTTCTGCAGCTGTGCAGCCTCCATGCCACACGTTGATGCTGGAGCACAGGATGCTCTCCACTGCACACCTGTAGAAGGAGGTGAGGACTGAGCTTCCAAGTCCAGCTCGTTTCAGCCCTCTGAGGAAGTAGAGTCTCTGATGAGCTTTCTTGATCAGGCTGGTGGTGTTGTTGCTCCAGCCGCAGATCCTCCTATATTGGGGGGGTGGGGTGGGGTGTGTGTGTGTGTGTATGTGTGTGTGTGTGTGTGTGGGGGGGGGGGTTGTTGCAACTGAAGTCCACAATCATCTCCTTTGTCTTCTTCACTTTGATGTGAAGGTTGTTCTTCCTGCACCAGCTCTCCAAGTGTTCCACCTCTTGTCTGTAGCTGGACTCATCATTGTTTGTGATGCATCCCACCACCGCTGTATCATCTGCAAACTTTACAATGTGACAGCCTGGATGAGTAGCTGCACAATCATATGTGAGCAGAGTGAACAGGAGGGGGCTCAACACACATCCCTGAGGGGAGCCAGTGGTGAGAGTTATGGTGGAGGAGGAGAAGTTGTGGATCCTCACTGACTGCAGCCTGTTTGTTAAGAATCTAGGACCCAATTGCAAATGGAGGGGCTTAGTCCTAGTGTGAATAAATTGTCCATCAGGGTTTGGGGAATCATGGTGAAGGTAGATGTGAAGTCCACAAAGAGCATACGGGCGTAGAAGTCCTGCTGCTCAAGGTGGGTGAGAACAGTGTGGACCTCAGAGTAGATTGCATCCTCTGCTGATCGGTTCTCACGGTATGCATACTGATGAGGGTCCTCGCTGATATTGATGGTTGTTTTGATGTGGGTCATGACCAGTCTTTCAAAGCATTTAGCGACTATCGAGGTGAGGGCTACTGGCCAGTGGTCATTCAGACCAGTCACTGCAGAGTTCTTTTGGAATGGGAAAATGGTGGCAGTCTTCAGGCAGGTAGGAACTGTTGCCAGGATGAGGGAGGAGTTAAAGATGTCTGCCAGTACCTCGCAGAGCTGATCAGCACATTCTTTCAGCATCTTCCCAGGGATGTTGTCTGGGTCGATTGCTTTGTGAGGATTAATTCTTCTGAAAGTACTCCTTACTTCAGCTAAGGCTACACTGAGAAACTCCTCTTCCATTGGTGAGTTGAGTCTGGTGTGGGGTGGTCTGTTCGGGTCTTGGAAGCGTGTATAGAAATTGTTGAAGGCATCAGGCAGTGGTGGGTCCCTAGGGCATTGTACACTTCTGCCTTCATAATCTGTTATACACTTAATGCCCTCATCTTGAATGTGAACAAAACAAAGGAGGTGATTGTAGATTTCAGGAGAAACAGGAACAGGTTCAACCTTGTCTCCATCATGGGAGAAGAAGTGGAGGTGGTGGAAAAGTATAAATACCTTGGAGTTCACCTGGGCAACAGGCTGGACTGGAAATGCAACAGTAAAGCCATCTACAAGAAGGGGCAGAGCAGGCTGTACTTCTTGAGGAAGCTGAAGTCCTTCGGTGTTTGCAGCAAGATGCTGCATAGCTTCTATAAGTCTGTTGTAGAGAGCGCTCTCTTCTGCCATCATCTGCTGGGGGAGCAGCACCAGAGCAAGTGACTTAAAAAAAGATCAACAAGCTCATAAAGAAGGCTGGCTCAGTTCTGGGGACTCCTCTAGAACCTTTGGAGATGAGTGTACAAAGAAGGATTCTTCATAAAATGAATAACATTATAGACAACCCTCAGCATCCTCTTCATCAGACTGTCATACAATCTTCAGTCAGAGGATTCTTCAGATCCGCTGCAATACAGACCGCTACAAGAGATCCTTCCTGCCCACAGCCATCAGAATCTATAACAACTCTTTAATGAAACCAGGATGATGAGTTACAACAACATTTAAT